CTTCACACTCCTCCATGCCGCAACCGCTCTTCTCCGTGCCCGTGTCTGGCTGGGATTGAACCAAAGTGAGCACCTGTCTCTCATCTGCTCTAAACAGAGCACCATCTGGAAAGGTCCAATGCTGCTGTGACGTGGCCCAGGCTCCTTAACAAGGCCGACCACACCCTACAGCCCCTGCCTCGGCCACATTCTCTCACTCCCTGCGCCCAACCCTCTCCAGCCTTCCCTGCTTCCTCTCTCCACACCCCAGTCTCAGGGCCGCTGCGCAGTTTCCTCTGCCTGTACCCTCTCCTCCCTGTCCTCCCAGCTCGCACCTTTTCCCCATTAACGTCCCCTCATTCTCTGCTGTCAGTGTGAACATCCTTCCTCAGAGAAGCTCTGACTCCTGCACTAGGTTAGGGCCCTCCAATGCCCCACATCTTCTCTGCAGGCTTCAGCACAGGCTTCATGTCGGCTTTCCCTGCTGGCTGTGAGCAGCTCGCAGAGGTCCTGCAGGCCACTGTATCCCAAGGCCAAGCATGCGGGGTCCTCAGGAAATGCGTAAGAAAGGAATGATGACTGAAAGCCACAAGGCTTCCAACTTAAAATTTTAATGGACTCTTGTAGTTTTTAGAGTATTTTGGTATCAAGGCTCGTCATGATCTGGCCCTCGTCAATCTCTCTGACTTAGTCCCAAACCCTTTGCTCCAATCAGACTGAAATGCGTGTGTTTCCCCAAAGATATTATGTTGTTTGGAATTCCATGCCTCCTCACAGACTGCCCTTCTGCCCGCCATGCTATTCTTCATGCTAACTCCTAATCCGCTCTTCAAATAAACAGGGTGCCGGTCCTCTCGGACCTCATTTGTTTGTGTTTGTCAGTGTTCCGTAGCCCACAGAGCTCCTCACCTCCCCTTCACTTCCCCTGCACCCATCTCACCGCGATTCCTGCTGCTCTGCGTCTCCTTCCCTTCTTCCCCTGACGCTCTCCTTTTGCCAGTCCCTCAAGTGCTGCTGTTCTGCAGGGTTGAGACTGGGCTCTCCTCTTTGCTGCTTCTGTATAGACCCCACAGGTGGGCTCCTTCCCACCCCGGGTTTCAACCACCGTGTGTGTGCTCACTGCGGGCCCGCATCTCTCTTCCGCCTTCTCCCTGACTCCTGACCCACAGTTCTAAGTGCCCATGGACACTGCCACGTGGGTGTCCCAGAGGCCTCACTGAACATCATAATAATGGAAAGAACTGAAATGGTCACTCTTTCCAATTCCCAAGCTAGCTCCTCCCCTGCGTTTGCTTGTTTATCAATGGCATCACCACCTACCCAGCCAGCCCAGCCCCAATGCTGGTAGCCATCCCAGAGCAGTCTCTTTCCTCACTACTCTCCACGGCCCCACCCAACTCTCCATTTATTAGCCAACACCTAGTGACTCCACCTTCTAATTATCTCCTGGATCTCTCCATCCCCCTCATTCTTACCACTTGGTTTTGCTTCAGCCTTCATTTCTCTACTGGATAACTCCCAGCCTCTCAGAGCACCTTTTACGCTGACGTGAGAATGATCATTAGTCTAAAAAGCAAATATGATCATGCCAGTGTCCCGCTTAAAAATCCTCCCACGTCTTCTCTACGCCTTTAAGGGTTTTAGCATTGCACAGCGGCTCTTCAGCCTGTCCTTTGCTCACTTATCCGGCCTCATCTTTCTACATGCCTCCCCATGGAACCACCTGCAGTCCCATGAATGTGCCACATGTTCTCCCTGACCTGTACCATGTTCTTGTACTTCCCCCATCCTTTTTGCCTCTTCACTCCTTTTTGCCTTTTAGACTTAGCCCAGGCATGAATTCTCTCCTCAGGGAAGCCTTCCCTAACCACCTCCCAAGGCTTTATTAGCTGTGACTACTAAGTTCTCCTGGAGACATTATCACGTGGTTTATCATTTGTTTATTTGACTGTTTCCCCGCTAGGCAGTGAGGTCCCCCGGGAGAGGGACGCGGACTATTTCTCTGTGTAGATAGTGGTAGACAGTCAGTAAGTGTTTGGTGAAGGAATGAACAACGGCGCAGTTTTGTGAAACAGCTATGCCCCACCCTGGACGAGGCTGAATGTTGTTTGTCTGTGAATGCTAAAGACTCAAGGGCACCCCCATTATCCCCCACGACCTTAACCTTCAACCATCCCCATCCCCAAGGATGGATAAGAACCTTCCCACCCCACCCTCTAGGCATCATCTTTCCTCTGGAGAGAGAAGATGTTTTCTCCTCTCCAAACTGCCACATCTGCCTGACCTCCATGTTATTCCCGCCCGACTTCTCCCTGTCTGTCAGGATTACAGATATAACTGTCCACCTGACACTTCCTCTTGGGTGTCTAGGACTCATGTCCAGCTTACTGTGACCAACTCTAAATTCTTAGTTTTCCTTCTCACACCTGTTCCTCCTGAGTCTTCATCATCTCAAAAAAGTGGCAGCATCTTCCAACCAGCTACTCAGGCCAAAACCCTGGAAGTCACCTTCACCTCGTTTCTCAGCCCACGTCTGAGCGGTGAGCACCTCTTGCTGGTTCCACAGTGAAGTAGACTCAGAATCCAACCACTTCGCCTCACCACCTCGGCTACCACCCTCGCCCAAGCCTCCAGGCCTCCTAGCCTGATTGTCGTTCTCCTGGCTGCCCTGCTCCCACACATTATTCTCACAGCAGCTCCTGTCGGCGGCTCAGGCGTCTCTGCTCAGAGTTCTCCAGTGGCTTCTCTCACACAAACTAAAGCCAGGTCCTTCCAATGGCCTGCTTCCTGCTACTTCTCTCACTTCATCTCCTACCTGTGGCCTCCTTCCTTGCCACCCTGGCTACACTGGCATGCTCGCTGTTCCTCTAACATGCCAGACGTCTCATTCACTGGTCCTTCTTTCCTTGAAATACTTTCCTTGAGATATTTCCCTTTCACATTCAGATCTCTGCTCAAATGTCACCTTATCAGAGCGTCTGAATCTCTATTAAAAACATCTCCTCACGATCACTTTCTCTCTCCTTATCCTTCCTGACATTAGATACGGAATACACAGCATCTCTTTGCTGATTTATTTACATCATGTACCCAGCAGCCCCATCCCCATCTTCCCCACAGGCATCGTCGCCCTCAGTGCTTGGCACAGCTAGTTCCCGGCCACTCACCAGACGGGACGTGTAGACGGGTGACTTGATGGGTGTGGCCACAGGACAGTTGATCCGCTTCTCCTTTTGGCGTCGGTTGCAGAACCAGACCCTCACCACCTCCTTCTCCATGGACAGCTGCTCTGCAATCATGGAGATCTCCTCTGAGCTTGGCTTGGGATTCTACAGAGGCCGAAGGGACAGGGAGTGGTCAGGAGAAGAAAGGAGTGGGGTCAAGAATTGAGGGTGAGGGACAGATGTTCCACAGAAAAAGGATAAAACAACAGATGGACCAAAAGCTTTAGAATCAGACTTAGGATGGAATACTCGCTCATCACTTCCTGTGTGTCCCTAAGAAATGTTCTTAACCTTTCTGAGCCTCCGTCTTATCATCTGTGAAATGAGAATAACAATGCCTACCCTGGAGGATTATTGTGAGGATTAAATTAGAAAGTGTGTGTGAGCTGCTGCACACGGGCCTGCCACAGGTCCTTCTCCTGCTCCTTCCTTCAGGGGAAGCTCTGCAAAGACGAGTCCTTGGTGAGTCATGTGGGGACAAGAGCCCCAGGTGCCCTCCTCTGTGCTCTGTCCTCACAATCTGGTGCTTCTCTTGTGTCACTGCCTCCTGTCCTGCCCCCAAATAGGGAAGGATACAGCTGAAGCCTGTGCACCCATCAAGACTGTGGAAATTCAGATCACACCTTCCCGGCCAGCGTGGCTAGTGGCTGAGCGTCGACCTCTGAACTAGGAGGTCAGAGGTTCGATTCCTGTCGAGGGCACATGCCCGGGTTGCAGGCTCCATCCCCTGTGTGGGGCGTGCAGAAGGCAGCCGATCCATGATTCTCTCTCATCACTGATGTTTCTATCTCTCTCTCCCTTCCTCTCTGGAATCAATAAAAATATATTTTTTAAAATTATATATATATAGATCACACTCTAGTTCTGCCCCCCAACACCCACCCGTCTTTGACCTCTGCCCTCTTCCCTCCCTCCGACACCTTCCCTTAGGCCCCCCTGTTGCTCTGAGGAAACCGAATCAGAAGGAAAAGCCAGCTCTTGGGGTCCTGCCAGCAGGAAGCAGCCTCCAGCTCCTTGACCAGATGCATTGCAGCCTCTGCTTAAGGGCGGCCGGCCTGGGGCCTGGGCCTGCGTGGCTGGTGGAGACCACAGGCACGTCCTCAGGGGCCTGTGTGATGGAGATGCAAGCTCTGGAGTGGTACCTAAGGACCCTGATTAGAAGCTCTTTGGACCAAACCTGTTTTCCTCTCTTCTCTCCCCCAGCTCCCAGCGGGACACAGAGTTGATATTATTAGCTTCAACATACAGGTTCAAGACTATGCTTTGGCTCCTCGTTAAAATCTGTATGTATGTAATATGATTGCAAGTATTTAAATGTGTGTGGAAAAGAGAAATAGAAGGAAACACATTTAGATGGCATTTGACAATTAAATTTTTTTCCTTCTCCATCCCTGTCTTTTCCTAATTGTGTACAATAAGCATTTATTACATTTATAATTCGAAAAATATAAAACAATGCACAGAAAGTAAAGAATTTCTATACAATGCCCTGGCTGTGCTCCCTCTACTTCAACTGAACATAGAGCTACACTCTTTTCTGGGAATCCGTATCCCATTTTTTAAAAAATATAGTTTTATTGATTTCAGAGAGGAAGGGAGAGGGAGAGATAGAAACATCAATGATGAGAGAGAATCATTGATGGGCTGCCTCCTGCACGCCCCCTACTGGGGATTGAGCCCACAACCCAGGTGTGTGCTCTTGACTGGAATCAAACCCGGGACTCTTCAGTCTGCGGTTTGCGGCTCTATCCACTGAGCAACACCAGCCAGGGCAATATTCCATTCTTTAAATCTCCCAGTGGAAGGGGCGATGGGCCCCAAATAGGCATCAGGGCAAGAAGGGTCAGTGGGGGAGGAAGTTCCTGGGATGTGAGATAACAGGCAGACCGTCACTCACACACCTGGGTGACTACAGAGGGGAGTGTGTGCTCTCTAGCCTCTTCCCACAACAGGCGTCTGGTGCCCAGGGGTTGGTGCCAAGGGGCTTACATGTGCCGCTCGCCCACCCACACGTGCCGCTCACCCACACGTGCCGCTCACCCACACGTGCCGCTCACCCACACGTGCCGCTCGCCCACCCACACGTGCCGCTCGCCCACGCTCCCGCCCCAAGGGGCCACTCACATCCTGGAATCTCTTCTCCAGGGTCAGGCGGATGTTGGTCTCAATGCTGGTGCGTTTCTTCCTCTTCCTCCCGAACACTTCGGTGAGGGTGGGGTAGGCGCTGGGGGTGCTCACCGCGGGGTCCGCCGGGGAGGACTCTGCGGGCGGAGAGAAGGCTGAGCGGACCGCGTCCAGCGCCTCTGCTCCTGGGGCTCTGCAGGGGCCGTTTCCGGACAGGCCTCCCCCAGCCAGGGCAGCGGTCGGCCCCCCACGGCCTCTGCTCCTGGCTCCGGGCGGAGAGCCCCCGCCCCCCAGCAGGGCCGCCAGTGTGGGTCCGGCCCAGGGACACCCAGCCGCCGGGCATGGGTGGGCTGGGGGGGCGCAGCCAGAGCTCCGGGAGGAGGTCCCCGAGTTGTTTTGTAGCCGCCTCGGCGGGAGCCCCGCACAGGGTGAGCGGCTGCGCTGGTCGGAGGCCGTTTGCTCTTCTGTGCAAGTGCCGGCCACGGCGGCCTGACTCAGAGGCCGGCGTCTCCCTAGGAAGGTTCGGGCTCCAATGGGGGTCCCCCTAGAAATGATCTCTAAGGCCCTTCCCCAAGGACCCTCGGGCCCTTTGACCGTAGCCCTCGCTTCGATGCTGCTGTAAAAGCTGTGGAGGGACCGTCTGGGGGGGCGTCCTTGCCCCTCCCACGTTCCAAGTGGAAGGACTTCCAAGGGGGTGGCATCCTGCTGCCCGCCTCCCGGTTTCCACGGTAACCACCACCCTCACTTCCACCAAACAGAGGCCCTGGCCCTGGCTCTGCTCGTTCCCTCTCAGCCAGACCAGTGGTTCCCAAACAAGGGTGATTTGGTACCCCCGAGACTCCCCCAGGGGACCCCTGGCAATATCTGGAGACATCCAGTGGGTAGAGAACGAGGCTGGTGCTAAACAGGACGGCCCCCCACAGCACAGGAGTATCTGGCCCCAGCTATTGATGGTGCGTAGCTGAGCTCTGTCCCTGACAACAAACTCTTCCGCTCATGATTCCAAACTGTCCCGAGGCTTACCTCCCCGCCCTGCGGGGCGCCTCCGGCCTCCACACCCACTGCAGTTCCCTGCCAACTCCACCCCCGCTGTAAGGCTTTCCCTACCCGACCTGTGTGCTGTGTGTCTCGCTCACCTAGCCCTGCCCTCTGAGAGCCTTCTCAGGATCAGCCAGATAACGACCTCCTGTCCCTGTCAGGACTGCTGCCTCCTCCTCCAGTGGCTCAAGAGCCCCCCTCCCTCTCCCCTGACCGAGCCCTGGTCCCACCAGCAGCCTGGGCAGATGTGCCTGCTCGGCAGACCCAACTCCATCCTTGCCAGCTGTCCTGAGGTCTAGGCTGGGGCTCCGGGTGGGGTGGGAGCAGGTGCGCGTTTCCATGGCCACGGGAGCTGTGAGCCACGCAGCTGGCATGCTCCTCTCCTTGTGCCTGTGTCTCATTTCTCAGTTGGCTCCAGACTCAGGGGAAGGAGGAAGGGGTGTGGGGTATGGACCGCCTAAAACCCAGCACCGACAAGTCACCCCCCTCCCCTGCAGGCTGTCCCAGGGCCCGTCCACCCTGCACCCCTGAGGGAGGCCTACCGGCATCGCTCAGCCACTTCTCCAGCAGCGGCTTGAGCTTGCACATGTTCTTGAAGCTCAGATTGAGTGCCTCGAACCGTGAGATGGTGGTCTGGCTGAAGTCGTTGCCGTACAGCTTCCCCATCGCCAGCCCCACGTCCCCCTGGGGGCAGGGAGGGGGGATGAGAGACAGGCCCACACCCACCACCCGAGCACCACCTGTCCCCTCCGCTCCCTTCTAGGTGGCTCCCCCTTATTTCTCTTTATGGACTCTGAGGGTCCGTGCCCACAGACCTGGCCCTCGCCTGGCTCTCATTTCTCTCCCCTCCACCACAGTTCCTCAGGGCCACGAAGGGCTCATGCCACAGGCGCAGGATGGGCTCGCCCCCAACACGCCCGGCCTCAGGATGCTCTTGAGACCTGGCCTCGAGGAGCCCCGTCTCCTGCGTCTCCCCCACAGAACCGAACCTGTGTGAAGCCCAGCTTGATGCGCCTCTGCTTGAAGGTCTTGGCAAACTTCTCCAGCTCCTCCAGGTCGCTGGGCTCATCAGCGCCCCCAGAACCAGGCAGATGCTTAGGCACCGGGAGATGCTGGGGCACTTCCAGGTGGGGGTCTAAGGAGGGTCCCGGCAGCCCCGGGCGCCCGACGGCCTAGGAGGGAGCACAGGCCACGCAGACGCAGACAGTCAGCATGGCAGCGGCAGTGCCGACGTTTACTAACAGGCGGTTAGCAGACGGCGGGTCCTGGCTGCCTGCACGCCTATATTGGGAAGGGACGTTTATATGAAGGGCGAGCAGTCGCCTAGGCCAGCGGGGGGCGAAGCAGCAAGTGGGCCGGCCATAGTCCGCTGGGTTTCAGCCTGTGACTCGCCGACTTGGGAAAGTTATCTCCCTCCTGTGGGTTTTCCACCATAAAAGGAGCCAGCAGGCTTGTCTACAGATTCCAAAGAGAAATCTCAGGACAAGCAAAAGGTTGTTTGCTTGGTCTGTTTTTACCCACAAAGCAAAGTCCTGAGGTGTTGAGCAGGCATGAACTGTAGATAACACGGGACATCTGACACTGTCACCTTAACAGAATTCTGTACGATGTCAAACTCCTGTGATTGGCATTTTACCTTCTAAACCACCCATTTTCACTCATTAGGATGCTTTGGTTTTGGCTTTTGTTGTTTGTTTGGTGAATCCTCACCCGAGGATGTCTCTCCATTGACTTTTAGAGAGTGGAAGGGAGAGGGGGAGTCAGAGTGAAACACTGATGTGAGAGTCATTGATGCCAATTGGCTGCCTCCCACACGTGCCCTGACCTGGGCCGGGGATCACGCCTGCAACCTACGTACATGCCCTTGAACAGAATCAAATCCAGGGCCCTTCAGTCCATGGGCTGATGCTCTATCCACTGAGCCAAACTGGCTAGGGCTGCTCTTTTTTTTTAAATCAAAGGCATTTTAGTGCTCTCTAAAGGCACTGTGATCTCATTTGTGGTTGTCAGGAGAACTTTTTTCTTTCGTTTATTTTCATAGGAAAATGGATCCTTAATCCTAGAATCCATGTTGTACCCAGGCGTACGTTGTACTTCAGGCGCACGTTGGACCTGAAGACATTGATCATCCCCAAGGAGGGAGGCCACCCAGGCCGAGGGGCCACTGCAGGGCCACTGCCCATGTGGCCAATGTGGCCTAAGTCCACCCTCTGCTCTCTCCTTCCCAGTTATTCTTCTCCTAGACTGGGGCTAGCTTTCTGCCTTTTCTCATCCAAGACACTCGGGGTTACCATGACCACAGGCGTTGTTATGATGGGGAAGTAAAGGACCTGAAGGAGGTTGAGGACTCCTCCCCAGCGAAGGGCCTTTGGGATGGAATCATTTAAAACAGTCATGGATCTGATCCTGTCGACATAGACCAGACCCTCAGGACACAGCTCTGTCTTCTTGAGACTTCCTTTTCATTTGTGTATTTGTTCTTGCATCGGACAAATACCAAGTTCTTTGCTAGACCTTCACTTTCCCCCTTCACATCCAATTAGATGCCAAATTGAATTGATTCAACTTCCCCAAACATCTCTCATTCGCCCCTCACCTCTATCTCATTGCCATCACCCTAAGCCAGTCACTGTCACACTGTCCAGGATGCTCTCCGAGATGGAAGAGCTCACCTGGAGGAAAGTGGGGAGCTTATGCTTCTAGTGTCCCGTTCCCATGAGCCACTAGGTGGCGCTGTCCACCCAGGTGTCCCGTGACTAGCCTCCTAAGCCAGGGCCCTTAGTGATCCTTGGGAATCGCAGCATAGAGAAGGGGCCTTGGGGTCCACTTCTGCAGAACCACCTCAGGCGGCTGTGCAGACGGGAGGAGCGGCAGCCACAGCACAGCCTGGCTACTCTTGCCAAGCGTGCCCCCCCCCCCCCGCCCCCGCCATGAGGCCACCTTTGGCCCAGGTGCAAGGAAGAGCCACTGGCTTTGTGGTCTCCCCTCGGGGCGTAAGAGCGCCAGGCTGGGCTGGCCATCACTGTGGCGTCTGGGGAAGTTAGCTGGCCTCTGGCTTTGAGGTGACTGTGCTGGGGTCTGGCTGGGGGTGGGAGTGCCTGCACTATGGGGCGGGCTAGGCCAGGAGCTGGTCACTAGTCCTCATTCAGCCTCCACCACCGACAGGGGCCACCCTCCCTGACTGTGGCTGTCATTGCCCGCCTACCATCAGGGCGCATCCCGGCTACTCCCACATCCCAGGGAGGCAAGAGCCCAGCTAGGGGCTGAAGGAAGACCAATGGACTGAGCTCTGTCACACTCCCGGGGGAAACCAGGGACATGTGGGCTTACCTGGGATGCCAGGCCGGGTCCAGGCTGTGGGAGGAGCAGGGGGCTTTGCTGCTGTGGGAAGGGGAGAAGATTGGGCTGCAGACCTGGTGAGAGGAGGACAAAGGTCAAAGGAATGAAACCCAGGCCACGTGACAAACACCCTGCAGCTTTGGAAGCGTGACAGCTCTCCTTACCGCACCCCCCCCCAATGAACCAAGTCCCGCAGCCCACCTCAAGCCCCGTGGAGAGGCCCCATGGGCGCTGCCAGGCATCGCCACACACAGCCCGAGGCAGAGCAGACTCAGGGAGAAGCAGATGTAAACAGCAGTCCCCAAACCAGTCCTGCTGCTCCCCCCAGCCCGCCTGCCTGCCTGCCCGGGGCAGGGCAGAGGCTGAGGACCCAGCAATCTGCTCTGAGGTGGACATCAGGGCTAGGGGAGTCCAGAAGGAAGGAGGATGGAGAGACCCTGCGGGCAGGAGATGCGGGTGTGAGGACTAAGGGTTCCAGCTGCAGCTGGGAATGTCCTGCTGCCTGGACAGCTCCACAGGCCCGCCCGTCTGCGAGGATGTCAGAACACGTGGATGGGCCATTGGCGGGGCCCCAGGCCGGACACTTTACACGGGGGAAGGCCTGAGAGAAGGGAGAGCAGCCAGGCCTCTGAGACTCCATCTGGTGGTGGGACTCCCCTGCTCATCCCGCTCGCCTGCCCTCCCCCGGGCAGGTGTCCCCGTAGGAGTCTCCTGGTTGGTGGTCACGCCAGTGTCTTCCTCAGGGAAGGTCACAGCCAGGCCTCTCGCTGCCACTCGGAGCAGGGCCACCACACCCCACAGCAGAAGGGGGGGTCACCCCGATCGCTCAGCACAGAGCTCAGCCTCAGGGTCTCTGTGGTCCCCAAGCTGGTTTAGGTCATTGATGTAGAGCATCAGCTGATGTTAAACGTTATGCTCCTCAGTCTAAAAAAACTCAGGACTTGGTTTTGTTTGTTTGTTTTTGTTAATCCTCACCCAAGGATATTTTTCCATTGATTTTTAGAGAGAGTGGAAGAGAGGGAAAGACAGAGAGAAACATTGATGTGAGAGAAACACATCGATTGGTTGCCTCCCACACGAGCCCTGACCAGGGCCAGGGGTCAGACCAACCTGCAACCAAGGTGCGTGCCCTTGAGTGAAATCGAACCTGGGATCCTTCAGTCCTCAAGCCAATGCTCTATCCACGGAGCCAATCTGGCCAGGGCGGTGTTTTATTATTAAAATAAATGGGCAAGAACGCTGGCCGGGGAGTGCTAGCCGTAACCTAGCATTCACGTTGTGTTTTGAAGTGACGGAAGCCTTTTCACGTGCTTTATTGCAGGCGATCCCATCACCTTGGGAGGTCGAGTTTTACTTTTTTATGGAGGAGGACATAAAACCTCAAAGAGGTTAAGGTAAGTTTCCCAAGAACACACAGCTAGTAATTTTTACCAATGAGCTTTTTGACTCCAGATTTTGAACTGGGCTTTTAATTGTTGGTTGTTTGCTCAGCATTATGTTGGCCTCACTGGCTATATGCCTGGGCCAATTTCATATCACTGTCGACCAACAGGATACCGAGTTCAGGAGTGTGATACGTATTATTCTGCCGAGACAAATGCTTCAAGGTTCAAATACATTCTGGCTCATCATGATGGTGACACCCGAGATGCTGGCACCGAGGGTGGGGCTGGATGCGAGCCGGCAGGGGCAGGACCGCAGCTCCATTGGCCCTGGATTCTGGAGCTTACACTCCTCCATCCTGTTTGGGCGAGTTGATGGATATAGGAGGCGGAGAGGTGGCAGAGAGGATATAGGAGTTAGAGGGTCAGGAGCAAGGGTTTTAGACAGACAATTCTGAAACTTTCTAGGAGGTCACCAGAGGCATAATATGAGTACCCAGTGCACACAGTTGTTTTGAAAAATAAATCAGGAAAACCACTCAGCAGAGCTCCTGGCACATCATGCTCAAGTGATGTTAGCAATGATGATAAACATTCTGTGTTTTATTTATTTGTTTGTTTGGTAATCCTCACCTGAGGGTATTTTCCCATTGATTTTCAGAGAGAGCAGAAGAGAGGGAGAGACAGAAAGAAGCATCGATGTGAGAGAAACATGCAGGGCCTGGGCCAGGGAGGAGCCTGCAACCCAGGCATGTGCCCTTGACCGGAATCGAACCCAGGACCCTTTGGCAGGCTGACGCCCTATCCACTGAGCCAAGCCGGTGAGGGCACAATTGTTATAAATATTCTAAGCCCTTGCTCTTGGCCAGGTTATCTGGAGGTTAAGTTCTGGCCAAAGAAAACCTGGCAGCCTGTAGGTGGCACTGCTGCTCCACCGAGGCCTCACAGTCCGGCTTCCTGAGGGACGTGGAGAGAACTGGGGCGTCTGCATGGCATTTCCCAGGAGCCACTCCTTCCTGCACTGCCCAGGTCCCGCCCCCTCCCCTCAGCCTCAAGTGGCCATGAAATCAAAGAAGATGGGAGAGGGAAGAAGAGAAGGTGACGGCCTGGAGGGGCAAGGACAGGGTCCCTGGCTCAGGCCGTGATCGGGAAAAGCTGATCTTAACACCAGCGGGCTGAGCCCCTCGCCCAGATCCCACCGGCTCCCTCGCCCAGCCAGCAGCGGGGCCAGCAGCGGGGCCAGCAGCGGGGCCAGCAGCAGGGCCAGCAGCAGCAGCAGCAGCACCTGGGCCACGCGAGCCGGTCTCACCTTGCTGCCCCGGCTGACTCTGAGAGAGCAGGAACTGCGAGACGGACTGCAAGTGGCCGGGAACCAGCACGAGCTGCTGGAGGGGATGGAGGGACGTCAGGTCCTGCGCGGGAGAGAGACACACATCACCGGACTCACACGCCAGACCGGCCCCTTCGCCCGCTGCCCATCTGTTCCGGGTCTTCAGACGCGGGAGTGTGCGGCAGTGACCTGGTCTGTGCCCTGCATGTCCCCAGTGTCTGGGACGCAGTCGCTGCTCCGTTAATGCTGATGTCATTACGGCGCAGCCAGGAGGCCTGGCAACCTGCTGTCACCACAGCCTGGCCTGTTGTTAACGTGTGTGTCAGTCCTGTCCCCCAGCGAGACTGCACATGCCCCTGGGGCAGCGCCTAAGTACTCTCACCTCTCAGACGTTTACTCTAAACATGACATGCAGTCCCAACTGTCCAGTTTTTGAAATCTCATGGCACTTTATTACGCTAGAAGCCAAGTCTTGGCCGGTTTCTGGGCCCGAACCGTCTTTCCTGGAGGAAGGCAGCAAGTTCTTGGTTCTCGGTAAACCCCACTGGGTTCCATAGAAAGTCCTTATCCCGGGGCTCCTCCCACCAGCCCAGAACCTGGAAATCCCAGTCCCCAGATTCCTCCCAAGCAGAGGAGTGGGTGCACATCCCGTTTTAGATTCGGCCAGAGAAGGGGGGCCTCTCTCCTCCCCGGTGAGCCAGGCCCGACAGGAGCTCCCACATGAACGCCTGCTCACACACTGTGGGCTGTGTCTTGACACCCCCTTCTTCCCTGGGCCAAGGACCCCCTCCAGTTTGGCTTTGACGTAAACACTTGCGGGAGGAGGGGGGCATCGAG